CAGAATTGTGAAGGACAAGATCCTTTAACTCAGCCATTCTCTCACATTAAACACAAGATGCAGACAATGATATCATCTCATTAGAGATTTATGAGAAGGACATTTTGCAAGAGCACTTTATGCAAATACCAGTGCTTGTTGCTTACAAGCAAGGGTCAGCATCCTCATTAGCTCTGTCTTCGTGGGATCAGTAATCAAAAGGAATATTTGCAGAACACTTTTCATATGTTCGTTTTACTTAACACAATAACCTATGAGAGTAGAGACCAGGAATTATTACATTATTATCTATTTTACATCTCAGGAAGCAGACATTCAGAATAGGGAAGTGACTTGTCCCAAGTCACCAGGCTCATCAGTGACAGCTGGGTGGGACTCAAAGCTGGATCTTCTAATACCGGATTCCATCTTTTCCCCACCGCATTCCCTACTTCTCCAAGTAAGCTATGTCACAGACAGGCTCAGGAATTCTACAAGAAAGAATGAGAAGGAAAGGAAAGTAGTGAGGAACTAGAAAGGGACGATAACTGGGGAAGGAGGTGTTTCATTAGGAAGTGAGTCTAACCACTCTCAATTGTCCCAAATGTCCCTTAAGTGGCACAACAGTGCTACAAGTTACCCTGCTCTAAATTACAACTATGCCTCTAGGTCTACAGCTACTGTTATTATTTGAAAATCACTATTGGAGACATAAATGTCTAAAAAAAATGGAAAGATCTTTCTCCTCCGAGGTCTGACAGCTGGACCTAGCCCCTCCCACAAAGGCCCTCGGGAGCCAAAGAAACCGTGAAGTGTGGGGGAATGAAGCGAAGAGGGTTTCGGTTGGGGGGATGACTAAGGTTAAGCTAAGAAGAGGGGGAGCCTGCGGTGGAGCTGTGGTTAGGGGATGTGGGTTTGTGGCTGAACTTGAAGGTGGGTTAGGAAACCAGGATCAGGACTGACAGTCAGGGTGGAGTTTACAGGTCCAGGAGGGGTTAGGGGAGCTGAGGAGTTGATAAAGCAAGAGAGAGACCACGGAGGACGCGAGGCAGGGTGGGCTACGGGGCGCGAGGATGGAGGCGAGGCCCCTCTCAAACGTCTGGGGTTGGACGCTCCCTTAAGTCCTGCCTCCCCGGACCCCTTCTTTCCTCAAGCCCCGCCCACGACACCAGGCGCGCGCCTGGGGAGCGGGGAGAGGGGGACCAGGCTGGAGGAGGGAGGGAGGGGAGAGGAAAGGCTCGTGCACGCGCCTCTCTCGCTGCGGGTGCGCGAGCAGCGCGCTCCCGCCGCCCGCGTCGCCATCTTTTCCCCCTCCGTCTGTCTGTCTGCGGTTGGCTTTGTCCGTCTGCAGCGCCGCCCCTCGGCTCACCGCCATCGGCTCGGCTCGCAGCTGCCCTCCGCCTGCCGGGTCCAGTCCTGGAGAGCCCCGGCCTAGCCGGTCCGAGCTGCAGCCCGGGGCCCATTGTCCGGCGGTCCGTCTGTCCGGAGGCGGGGCCCAGGGACCCGGAGCGCCGCGGAGCGCCGAGGCCCCGGGTAAAAAGACCCCCGACTACTTCCCTCCCGGGCCAGGCTGAGGATGCAGGGGTTCCTCAGCCCCCCCTCTGGGTCACCGGCTGTTGGTCTTTTGTCCATGTCTGGGGAGCGGACTAGGGGCTCGCTCTGGCCGGGGGGGCGGGGGCAGCCCAGGCTCCGACCCACACCCTGCCCCCGTTTTCCGAGACGAGGCGGGACTCGGCTAGCTCCCCTCCGGTCGTTCCTCTTTCCGCCCCTTTGGCGCGGGTGCGGGGGGGGGACGTCCGTGCAGCCGCCCTCCCCGCGTGGGCCCAGGTCTGGCTTGGCGGAGAACAGCCGGGACGGCCCCGGCGTCTGACAGGCTGGGGAGGAGCTGGGGGAGGGGGAGGAGGAGGATGGGCGTGGGAGTGCAGACCCGGGTATCAGTCCCGGGTCGCCGTCTCGCAGGAAGGCTTCTAAATTTAGATTTCGGAGAAGACTGTGCTGTCTGAGGGTTTGTCTGAGCCACCTCGGAAGACCACTGGCTTGCGTCTGATAATTCCTGGGAATCTACCTGCTCATACTTGAAGAAGCCAAAGAGACTATCTCGACTGATTATACACATGCTTCAGACCAAACAGAAGTGGGAACAGGGTGAACAGTGAGGCGACTACGTGACCAGCTTTCTTGTCCTCTCCTTTTTGGCAGATACAAACCACTGGGATTCAGACGAGTTTACTTTCCTCGGTGGGAACCGCTTCAGAGCTGGAGGTAGGAGTTCATCCTCTTTTCTTAAAGCTTGGATTTCACCCGTTTTTTTCCTTGCTAAACCCTGGAAGCTGCAACCTAACACTTGTGGGTGAACAGGGACAGTGTTAAGGGGAGATGTTGGCTCCCCTTTCAAGGACTCTTAACCTCGTTCTAAAACTGCCTTCCTTTTTTTGTTGTTAATATCATCCGAGAATATTTTTTTTCATTTTTTGGTACGGTGGTAGGGGGTGGAGGGAGTGGGGAACAGGACGGGACATTGATGCTTACCTGATTGGTTGCCTCCTGCACGACCCCAACCAGGGCCCGAGATGAACGTGCAACCCAGGTATAGTGCCCTTGACCTGGAACTAACCGGTGACCCTTTGGTCCGCGGGCCAACGCTCTAACCACTGAGCAAAACCGGTCATGGCACGCTGCCTTCCTTTTCAAATAGAATCCCTTGTAGATTTGAATCACCAGTTTACCTTTCTTCCCGTTCTGGTTTTCTTGGAGATGGTGATGTTCAGGCAACTGTCCGATTCCATTTTTGTGTTGGTTTCAGATTCCGTCTTGGGAACTGAGGCAGTGTTAAAAGTAAAACTGAATGATTTACTATTAAGTCAATGTGCCTATGGTTTTATTACCTTTTAATGTATACAAAACAGTTGTCTAACCCCTGAGATCTTGTGTGTGCTCCAGAATGTACTTTCAGCGCTATTTATTTATTTATTTTCAAGAGTCCTCTACCCTACAGGCTTTCTTTTTTGAGGGAGGGAGAGTATTTGCTTAATTTCCCCTTAATCCCTCATGTGTGAAGTTCCACTGGGTACCATCTGGTCGGTTCCCCATTTGGCCACTAGGAGGATTATAAGATGCAGTGGACACTGCCAATTTAAATATGCAGATGCTCATCTGTTTCCTACTTGCAGCATTAGTATTGAACTGTTGCCTCACCAAGATGATCTGAATAGAGCCTGTCTCAAGTTATTTGGCCTTCTTTCAGAAGGATCTTTATTACTTTTATCTCACAGTTTCAATTTCTGATCTTGATGAAGAAAATGTTTAAAGATTAGTTAAGATTTCATATTTTCCTTATATGATAGAGAGGTGTAGCTCTGCAGATTTTAGAAAAAAATGAAAGACAATCTGCATTTCATTCAGCTTTCCACTTTGCGATTCCACAGACTTACAGGGAAAGTGTGTAATACCCAAAGTGTAATATTTATTCACTGCTTTAAAATAACTACTTGATAAGAAAGAAATGATCTACACAAAACTTAGAATAGAGAATACATACCATTAGCATTAGCACTCAGCATATTGCCCTCTAAATAGTTAAAATTGATTTTATGTATATTTGGAGTTTGTATTTTTTTTTTTTTTAATTAAAGGTCTGAAAAAGAACTGTGTTTGATATGCAGATATGATAGAAGACTGCCTGAAAGCTGCTTCCTTTGCCACTTCCTGTGGAGGCCTGTCTTTGCCATTTGCGGTTTCTTTCTTCTTTTGGTAAGGGGAGGCAGGATCTGATTACAGGTCTGAGGTCCTTTCTAGCTACATAGAGGAGTTAGTTGGCATAACAGGAGGTGAGTCTTCACTAACTGGAGTGCAAAGTATAGCTAGTAATAGCCTCTCATAATGCCTCTTAAGGCAATCAACTACAATTTTATATTTGCTCATTCAGTGTGAATACAATTGGAGAAGGCAGGAACTGAACGAAAACTTAAAGGGTGACCAGATCCATATTCTTGTCTTTGGTAGGGAAAATAATCTATCTCTTTTTAATCTGTGTCTGTTTATTCACTTTATCTTTCAAAGAAAATTTCACAGCTTCCAATGCTAATTCATTCAGACTCTCTAACACTTACTGCTGGGAAAGTCTTACAACTAACCAGGAACCTCCAGGTTTAAGTATCTGTTCCCTCCTGTTTCAGGGAAGTAGGTGCATGTCTCTGCAGCATTTTTCACATGAGGAGCTTTTCTCTTTGTTTTCCCACTGATCTTTCTGCTACATAGAGGCTGGATTGAGAAGAAGCACTAAAGTTATTAACTTTGACCACCGCTCCAGAGCATGAGCAGGGCCAGGTTGATGTTTCACACTTGGATGCTGAATTAGTACTCAACAATGTGGATGGCATCTTTCTCTTCTGGTGAGAGCCCATCTTCAACATTGGAAGTCTGATTTGCTTTAGTGCCCTGTCATCCACAGTGCCCAGCACTGTGCCTGCCTGCATCACTAGAAAGAGGTTCTGTTTCTTGTGTTGTTTTGAGACATTTCCTGTCTCAAGGATGTGATGCCTTTGTCACCTCCAGGCAAGATAACTTTGTGAGAAACATCTGGAGGCCTCCATTGGTGTAGATTGCAGGGCTCGACTTCCAGTGGGCATGTGAGCTGCCACCCTCTTTAGCTTTTTTTGCTTTTTTTTTTACAGTTCACAAGGTACTCCTTTGAGCCCACAGTACTACTAATGCTGGTTGCCTGAGTTATTTGCTTCCTTTTCTATCTTGTGATCTTGATCACAATTGCTTAATAGTATTCTGGATTCCACAGATCGATTTAGAGTAGAATTCTCTAAATCCTCTAAAGGATTCCCCTCTTAAACTTCTTGGGACTTTGATGTTGTGCTAGAAATTTATTCATTTCTTTCTTTCTTTAATTCAATTATTTATAACTGGTGAGTTTTATATGCTTAAGAACTATTTTTAAAAATCTTTTTATCTGTTATTTTGTATTATACATGGGCAAAATTATATGTGCTAACATCATCCTTTTTATTGTAGGTCAGCACCCTGCAAGGAGGTAGTAACACATCCAGTCGTGAAACTGGGAAAGGCCAGAGCTCTTGGATCAGGGAAACATGTCCCGTCGGAAACAGACAAATCCAAATAAAGTTCACTGTGAGTATTGGGCTTTGTCTTCTGGAATCTGGGAACGTTGAGGGTTGAAATGGAAGTGTAATCTGAATTTAGATTAGAGGCCCACATTAATCTGTGAAGAAGAAAAAAGGGTTAAAGGTGTTAAACATTATGGATTTAAAGTGTGTCTGGTTGTAGAAAACTCTTAGGAGTAAGTGCATTTGATTCATCCTCAGTATTCATATTAACAAACATTTACAGGACATCTCCTCTGTGAAAAGCTTTGTGTTAGATGCCCAGGCTGTAAAATAATATGAAGATATACGAGACTATTAATGTAGCCATTACATGATAGTATATGTTAAGTACCAATAGGGATGCTATAGACTGTATATGCTACAAACTGTGTGTACTACAGGAGTCAAGAGGAAGGAGGGAGCTTCATGGACTGAGGGAGCAAGGGAATTCTTGATGGAAGAGGCCCCAGACCATGAACTTGAACTGGGCCTTAGAAGGTAGAAAGTGGATTTTTAAAAAAGAGGAAGAGAGGTAAAATCAGGTAGGGAAAATGATGTGAGCAAACATGCAAGAGGGAGTACATGTGATATGTTCAGGGGACAAGGAGACTTTGGATGAAGCAGAAGTTTCATTTTTCTGGAAGTCATAGGACATAAGGTTGGCGATGTTTAACTCTATGTTATACAGGCCTAAAGGCCAAGCCAAATTCAAACTTCATTCTGTAGACTGTAAGGAACTACTGACGGTTTTAAAGCAGAGTAGAGTGACATTTAGAATGCAATGTTTTGGGATGGATCACATGAGGGAGAGAGACTGTTAATAGGAAGACCAGGTATGCACTATTGCCTTGCATTATTTCTCAACAGTTTTGAATGTATGTTTTATTTCAGTAATTGGATTGTAAATTTCTAGAGGGCAGAGACTATGTCTCATATATATTTCCTTCTATCCCACTCAACTAGCACTGCTCATAGAGGGTGTTCAAGCACCTTGAGATACTTTATTAAATTAACATTAATATATCTATGTAGATCTGAGATAATTAATCAGACAGTTTCTTATGATCTGAGGAGATAAGCATCCTCACATAAATGTTTATAAAAGAGACAAATAGCTCCCTATTATGGAGGATTGACTAAATAAAGTACAGCAACATTTGAAGAGAATTCAGTGGTATAACATATGAAAGATTTTTTTAAAGGAAAAAAAACTACATTTGAGAGGATAGATTAGACAAGGAATTAAGAGGACCAAAATTTATTAAAAACATACTGTATGCCAGGCACTATGTACCTTATCTTCTTTTATTGGGTAATTTCAAGAGTAGAAGAGAAAACAGTAGGAGCAGAGGAATTAAGAGTACTTCAACATATTATAGATAATGAGATTAGGGTAGCAAACCTACATGTACAATTCCTTAAATCCTGGGAAAATTTTATAAGACAGAACAAATCAGATGTTTCTAGGAGTCTATTCTAGGTGGATGTGGAATAAGGCTGCTTAATATAAAGGTGAGTGATTTAGGAAAGATTTAGAAATTGCTGCTAACCAGTAACATTTAATGAAGCTGAATGGGTGGATTGTTAAGAGAGAAAATGAAGTATCTCTAGTATAGGTAATCTAACACAATGGTTTAGGATTGTCATCTTCTCTCTAGTTGAAGGTGAGTATTGATTGATAAAAGACACAGATGTGACCCCAAGAAGACAGGGAGGAAAGGTACTCTTAATAGAGATGATGGGTTCACAAGTAAGGCAGTCATAGAAGTTGGGCATACCTATACAAAGCACCTGTCCAAAAAGACTGGTTAGGTTTGAGGAAAGATGGTGGGTAAATGATGGCATGATTGTGGTAAGGCCAGGGGAGTGAGGAAAGGCTTTTGTGGCCTATGCCTGTGTCCACGTGGCATATATCTATCAACTGCATCTCCTCCCACCATAGTCAGTCAAACTAGGATGAGCTGGTATTAGAGTCAGAAAACAGATGGACAGCCCTGGCCGGTTTGGCTCAGCGGTTGGAGCATCGGCCTGTGGACCAGAAAGTCCTGGGTTCGGTTCCCGCTAGGGGCACAGCTGCAGAAATTCAGTTTCCAGAGCGAAGGAACATTAATTGTATTGTGGTGGAGTTGATGGGACTTTGCAGCCGCTGTGGTGGTAACACGAAGAGGGCTGTGAAGAGAAATGTTCAGGGGCCACTAAAAAGCAGACCCAAGGGAGGGGCCATTTTCAGTGATGCATTTGGGCAGGGAAATATAAGGACATCTCAGGTGATGGACTAAGCTTGACCAAAGAAGAAAAGACAGTACAATTTGCTGGCCTCTAAGGGACCTTCTGTTTATTTAGTCTCTGGGGACTGAAGCTGATTCTACATTTTTTGAAAGGTCATCTTCTCATTGCCCATGACAATAATGGCAGTGGAAATTGGAAATTTCAGTCTCTGACCACTTGAGTTGCCTATTCCCTTGCAGTGAAATGGAACCAATCAAATGTATTGAATTTAATGCTGCTCATCTATTTAAAGGAAATGGAATGGACTCAAGGTCTGGGAGGCAAGAAAGTCTGCAGAAGCTCTGCTTCAATATCAAAGCCAGTCGGCACTCAGGCAGAATAATGGCTGGGCTCCATTAAATCTGCCTTTTGGGAAGAAGATTGTGTGGCATGAAGCTCAAAGCCCGCCTAAAAGAATATAGTAAGAATCCCACTGCTATAGCCTGGCAGCATTCATCCGATTCGATTTAGAGGCAATGGGCAGGCTGCGCTGACATTTACTTGGCTTTCCTCAGGACTGTCTCTGTATCTCAGAAATATCCAAGCAGGCTCTTGTGTTTTGCCCAATTCATTAATAGACTTGATGAGAGCTCTTGGAATAAAGGCCCAGAATTGTTAGTCACAGAGCAACTGTTGATGGGCTGAAATCTGTTAGATCTTCCCTCCCTCCTTCCTCATCTCACCCCTTCTGAGTATAAATTCTTGTCAACTGTTTCTAGAGAGGTTGAAAATAGAGTGCCTTGCACATTCTCGTTTGGTGTGTTTATATCAAGCAAACCACTAAGAAAAGGAAAACTTTTTCTTAAGAGTTTTTGTTTTTAGATAGCAAAGTACACACTAAAAACTTTCAACTTCAATGAAAAGCTTTGCAACTTTACCTTGGCCAGTTCTGCTCTGTGGTTAGAGCACTGGCCTGAGGACCAAAGGGTCTTGTGTTCGATTCCTGGTCAAGGGCATGTACCTGGGTTGCAGGTCCAATCCTTGGCCCTGGTTCTGGTCATGCAGGAGGCAACCAATCGATGTGTCTTTCTCACACTGATGCTTCTTTCTCTCTCTCTTCCTCCCTCCTTTCCACTCTATCTAAAACTCAATGGAAAAGTATTCTCAGTGAGGATTAACAATAACAGAAAAAAAGCTTTTCAGTTTTTATAGAGTAGGGAAAAAAGCCTTTGTAGTCCCTTCTCTTCTAAAAAGTGGCAACTTTTTTTTCATAAATATATTTTTATTGATTTTTTTAGACAGGGAGGAAGGGAGAGGGGGAGAGAGATAGAAATATCGATGAGAGAGAAACATCAATTGGTTGCCTCCTGCACAACCCCATTCTAGGGATCGAGTGAAACTTGGGCATGTGCCCTGACCGGGAATTGAACCAGCAACCTCTCAGTGCATGGAAGGACATTCAGTCCTCTGATCCACACCAGCTACACAAAAGTGGCAACTTTTTTTTTTTTTATCCTCACCCGAGGACATTTTTTTCGTCTTTAGTTCAGATAGAGTGGGAGGGAGAGAGTAAGAGAGAGAGAGAGAGAGAGAGAGAGAGAGAGAGAGAGAAACATCAACGTGAAAGGGACACATTGAGTGGTTGCCACCCGCACGACCCAACCAGGGCCGGGGACAAACTGCAACTGAGGTACGCGCCCTTAGCAGGAACCAAACCCAGGTCTCTCTGGACTACAGGCCGACACTCTAACCGCCGAGCCAAACCGACACTCTAACCGCCGAGCCAAACCAGCCAGGGCAAAAGTGGCAACTTTTTAATCTTTGTTCAGTCCATCAATGTCCCTGTAAGGTAAATGGTTATGTTCCCAACATGTGCTTGCACCTTGGGTTCCAGAGACTGTCAGCTAGAAGTGGACTCTTAAGCTCCTCACTCCCAATACTAGCTCATTTTTTTTCTTTTTTTTTTTTTCCTTTATTGATTTTAGAGAGAGAGGAAGTGAGAGGGAGAGAGAGATAGAAAAATCGATGAGAAAGAACATCGATTGGCTGCCTCCTGCATGCCCCCCACTGGGGATTGGGCCCACAACCTAGGTATGTGTCCTGACTGGGAATCGAACCAGAGACCTCTTGGTGCATGGGTTGACGCTCAAACACTAAGCCACACTAGCCAGACCAAGTTCATTTTTTCCTGAATTTGACGTCTGCTCTGTTAGAATATGTTTCAGCTGCTATACTTAATCTAGGAACTGCATTTATGGGGTGGGCAAAAGTAGGTTTGCAGTGTGAGTATGCAGAACAGTTTATTCTTTTTAATTTAATTTATTTTAGAGAGAGACAGGAAGGGAGAGAAAGAGAGGAACATCAGTTTTCTGTTCCAATTATTTATGCATTTATTGGTTGATTCTTATATGTGATCTGACCAGGGATAGAATTCACAACCTTGATGTATCAGGACGATGCTCTAACCAACTGAGCTACCTGGCCAGGAGCAGTTTATTATTGTATTATTACTTATTAATTACTGTATTATTTTCCATATAAACAACTGCAAACCTACTTTTGCCTATAACTGCACCAAGGACTCAAGAAGGAGCTCTGTAAAATCTTTGTCTTTCTAATAACTTCTATCTTAGGCTTCTCATTTGTTCTATAAACTTGCTTGCATGGCCTTGTTTTTATCTGGTTTGAAAAATCTTAGCCAAATCAAACAGTATCTTGATTTTATATTAAAAAAAAAAAAAAGAGAGGTGGCACCTTGCTTTCTACTGTGTAAGCTCAGATGACTCATTCTCAACTATTAATAGACAAATAAATACCCATGTTAAATAAGATCATTGCCCTACATTAATATCTAGAGATTAGAGGATTTTTTAAACCCTCTCCAAGAGTCTCAAGATAGAAGGAAATA